TATAATATATATATAATAATATAATATAATATAATATATAATATACATTATATATTATAATATATTATATATATATATTATATAATATAATATATAATAATATAATATATATAATACATTATATATATTATAATATATATTTTAATATATATAATATTTACTAAATAAATAATATATATTATATATATTATGTATATATATTATATTATATATAATATATTATATTATATTATATTATATTATATTATGTATTATATTATATAATACATTTTATATATAATATAATATATATTAAATATATATTATTTAATATAATAAGTTATTTATATTTTTTTAGTTTAATTTCATAAAATTTAATTTATTATATTTTAATTTATCTTCTAAATTTAGTTTAATTCATCCATATGTAATATTCATATATATTAACTGGTACTAGAACTAACACTTAACCTTGAGTGGTGTAGTGGTGTAGTGGTTGCATGTATTTCTTGCTCCCATGAGGTCACTGGTTCAATCCCTAGGATCAGTGGATTTTTTTTTTCCAATTTCAAGCGATATATTCAATATATCGTGATAAATTCAAGTTACCACGATATATTCACGATATCCAGTCGCTGACTCGGATGCACTTGGTCGCCACGTCAGATTTCCGTTAACGGCCGTTAAAAGCATGTACCATTTTGCAAAAAATGTAAAAGTCATGTATTTATTTGCCAAGGTCTAAAAGTCGTGATTAAATTGTCAAACACGTAAAAGTCGTGTTAATTCTCGCCATTTTGCCTTTTATAAATGGTTATTCTTATTCTGTATGTATAGATTTTATTTAATTATTTTATTCATTTGTCTTATATTCCACCTGGTCGCCACGTTAGATTTCCGTTAACAGCCATTAACGGCCGTTAAAAGCATGTACCATTTTGCCAAAAATGTAAAAGTCATGTATTTATTTGTCAAGGTCTAAAAGTCGTGATTAAATTGCCAAACACGTAAAAGTCGTGTTAATTCCCGCCATTTTGCCTTTTATAAATGGTTATTCTTATTCTGTATGTATAGATTTTATTTAATTATTTTATTCATTTGTCTTATATTCCATAAAATCGGTTTTAAAAAAAATCCATAACATATAAAAAATACTTTATTTATTTGTCTGATTCCATAATAACATCGATTTAGTCAAAACAAATCTCATAAAATCGGTGAAGTAAAAATTGTACGTAAAGTCTATCTATACTTAAAAAAATGCAGAAAATTTCTTATTTAATTCCTTATCTAATTTCTGTTTAAAGTATTTTATTTAATATTTATTTTAATGAAATATTAGATAGGATTGCTGGAACTGAGTCAATTTTAAAATTGCGTTGTTTGGTATGAGAGGATTATTCGCATTATATATCTGTCTAAAATATATTATTTTAATATTATTTAATTAATTTATTTAATATTTAATTGTCTTATCCATGACATCAGTTTTGTCAAAAAAAAAAATTAAACAAACAAACAAAAAAAGACACGTGATTAATTATCTTCGACTTAAGAAAAATTTATGGGTGGACGTAAATATTTAACAATGCTGTTTCAAGTTCCTTAAATAATACTATAACTATGTTGTTGAAATATAATCTCTTTTATGGGTTACGTAAATATGTTGTTTAAAGTTTTTTAAAACAATTTTTTTATTAACTATGTTGTTTAAAGTTCCTTAAACATTAATATATTTAAAGTATGTTCATGCTGTAATATATTAAAGTCAAAACAATACTAGAAGGCTTTTGAATTATCTAATTTCAAATTATCTAAATTAATTATTTTAAATGTTTAATCCAATTAAATCTTCAATCCATGGAGTATTTTTACTAATCCCGTGAGCATGTTGTTTTTGTTATTGTAATCAATTTATACACTATTATACTAATAAATTATTTAATATCTATGTACAATGGAGTCTTTAATAATAAATGATTGTTTATTTGTCGAATACTATTTTATTGTATAATTTTCATGCGTACTATAAAACTTTTATTGAATATTGCATCTTATAATATAATATTCTCCAAATAAATATATCCTGTGTCTCGCACATGTCCCGTACTATATATATCCCGTATATTTTTTTATTCATTTATATAATTATAAGAATGAATAAATAACCGTAAAATTGTGCACCCCGTGCATCGCACGGGCTCTGTACTAGTTGTTGATTATGGGTATTAGGGTTTTGGATAATTATTTTATTGGAAATATTTATTTTGGTTATTTGTTGAAATAATTGATTTTTTTTTATTTTTTTTTGTTGGATTAGACATTATGTGTTGTTGTAATTAGGAAGAACTGAAAGTGTCTTTTTGCAGCAGGTATTAATGGCGCATTCCGGTGCATACTTTGTTAATTTGTACTGGCATTTTCCGAAGGAAATGCTAAGTGAATTTGTTTTATTTAAAGACCATCCGGATGGTTCATTGTTTATTCCGGAGAGGATATCATATCAACAATTGGTAAAAATGATTAATGAAAATTGTTGGTTTGGAGGAGGTTGGACAATGAAGGAGATTACTTTAATAGTTAGTCAACCCGATGGTTCGTTGAATTTCTTAAGACTCAATAACGATAGTGTTCTTCAATATATTTATTACCTTCCTTCTATGTCCATGGTGCATTTGCATTTATCGTTTGAGGTAATCACACCAGTTACACATGTTAAG